AATATAATTATAGTCAATCTTTGAGTGACGGTAGTTACACACATTTTAATGGTAGCAGATTTAAACAAAATCAATTTTCGAATGTTGGCAGTTGCACACATACTAATGGCATGTGTGCGACTGCCAACATTCGAAAATTATAACATATTAAAAAAAAATCGAATCAATGAACCAGTTATGTACATACTTATTTAAAATACACACACCAACAGTCTACATCTATATTTATACTAATATTCATTACACATATAAACATTCTCCTTTCGGTTGACCGTCTTCATGGATCATGTTGTCTCTGTGTTTGCTCAGGATAATGCGGTCACATGACGTACTGTAATAAAGAAAATATAAAGAGGAAACATTAGATTTTATGTGCGTCTGTTAGTATTATTATTATCAAAACTACAACCTTCCATATTAGCCACACATCTCCGACCGCCATTGTGTCCACGCATGTTTTACGACACGTGTCTAAATTATAATAAATAAGTGAATATTAATTAAATAAATAAACACAATCAATATGATAGAAAAGACATACCATTCAAGACTCGTAGGTCAATTACGAGGTGAATGACACATTCACCCTTCAGCTAGTTTTGGTTCCGAATCCATACAAATCAAAGGCTTATTGTAATCTAAAATAACCAAGGCGCTGTCGTCAAAAACTCAATTAATTCGCGAATGGGTTTAATTTAATAGCAAGAAAGGAATCCTTCCAAAAGTTATATCAAAATGGCTAATGACTAATTTCGTAACAAATTAATTTGAGGAAGTGAAAATTACTTTTTATGGAACCTCCCAAGGACTTGTGCAAACTTTTTGCTAGAATTGGCGTTTTAGTGTTTTCATCAATTTACTTTTTTCATTTCTCGGAAAGTTACCTATACTGAGTGTTGCCACAAATAATAGTTAATTGTGTGTGTTCATTTATTAACTCTTTATTATACCTAAAATATAAAAAAAAAACATACAATAACAATTAGAATATTTAACTAAAATACAGTAGCATAAAGTACAGATCAAAATATGCAGATAAAGGTACAAAAGGTATTTCGCGGCTCACTTTTGGCCACAACGGAATATCAGTGTTTTGCTCTTTTTAGGGCAAAGCAAAAAGCTGAGTTGTGGCCATTTTGTATTACTGCGGCACACGCATGAAGAAAAAAAATTTTTTTTTATTATTTTTTTTAATCTTTTGTTCATGTATCTTTTTTTATCTTTTTTCACTTTGCATTTGTGTCTTTTGCAGTTTGTATGCTGTAAGTAATGCAAATAAATTATCTATCTATCTAAAGGCGGTCTTTTCGCTAGTTTACCCTACCGAATTATCCGAGAAAGTCAGAATAATGTTTTTAAATGGTTTTAAAGTTTTTATGCAAATTGGAACGTCAAACTAACTGACAGCTCACCTGATAGAAACTTGTAACGTTTATCTATTGATGTAAACAGCATCATGAATATTACAGATCACACTTGACGCCTTTAGTACCACGTTACTATACAGATTGCTATACCTAAATAATACCTCTATATTTTTTTTTTCGTATTATTATCGCTTGATATTGTATTTCCATAAAAATATAAAAAAAAAAATTAAAAAATAAAAACTTCTTTCATTTGGAAGTCCCTTAATTAAAGTTTTTTTTTTTTTATAGTAATTATGTATTATTAAAAATTAAACTATTATTAAGAGATAAAAGAAAGCCAACCATTGTTTTCTTCTTACTGTTTAATTTTCAGTTTATTTTTCATCATCATCATCTTCATCATCATATCAGCGGTTAATCGTCTACTGTTGAATATAGGCCTCCCTAAGGGAAGGGAAGTTTTGCCAGTAATTGCCACGCATTATAAATCGGTTGATAACCGCAGTTAGACTTTGATGATGTTTTAAGAAAGACTGCTACCAATCCCTCGACCATAAAATACCCTTAGTCGCCTCTTACGACATCCACAGGAAAGAAAGGAGTGAGAAAGATTTGCGTTTATCTACTTCATCTAGTTAATTTATTATTAATTTTAACTGAACTGTCAAATAAAACTGAATTTTTAAATTTGATTTTGGAATAGCTAATTTATATTTTTATTTCAAATCTATTGGTGCAGTGTTTTCACGAGTATATAGCTTTACAAAACCCTAATAAAAAAATACAAAGCTACATAGAATAGTGTAGACAAAGCGCCTACAACACTATCAATAAATCAACTACATTAGAAACACCTGATCGCAAAAGAGTTTTCCGTTAAATTTAACACGTTCAAGAAGAAAAAAATGTGCTTGAAAAGGAAACCCGAAAATCCCATTTTCACCCTACGTCCGACCTTTCGATATTCACAATGCCCGCTACTATATTTTCATATTAACATATTAGGTATGTTGGGAAGGAAGCCGCTCATTATGAATGTACAAAAAGGTGGACGTCCAAAATGGAGGGATATTGTGTGGGGCTTGGGGCGAGTCGCGTATGAAATTGTAGTATTGTTGATCTTTGTGAATAATGTAGTTGCGATATAGGTTTGAATGTAGCGATTCTCTCTTTGTTTGTGTGCAAAGAATACGACAATTACAAATTTAAAAATCGAATACGTTATTCAAGGCAGGGGGAATTGTTAAGGTCGGAAAAATTTCGCTGGGTTCATTCTATGAAACAATGTTTAATCTTTGTGAATGATACCGAGTTCAAATTCGATTACTTTTAATCGATTACGACACACTAACGATTTGTGATTATCTCAAACCACAACTATCGAATCTCTTTAAATCTATAAGTCCTTAATCTTCAGCGATGTTATTACAATATGAACGAGGGCGATTAACAGGCCATTGTTTTAAAATGTTATGTACAAGTACTTTAAATATTTTAGTATTTGAACTGGTAATTTTTTGCGAAACACCTTTATATATATATATATATATATATATATATATATATATATATATATATATATATATATATATATACAGATAATAACTCCTTGTACTAAAAATACTCATTTTCTTTTATGAAAATTGCAAAGCAGAAAACACAGACGAATGTTTTTATTTTATTTTTTATCACTATAAATAAGTCATTATGGATATTGATAGTTGATAGGATTCTTTAAAAATGCAATTCTGTAATACTATTGTCATCCAATTGTCAAAAAGGGAATGTTTTTGCTGTATGTGAAAATATTTATTGTAAGATAAAAAAAATATTGGATGGATATTGTAAATAGAACGTATTTTGTTGCAGGGTTGATATACAACATTGATTAATATTGCTTGCGAAGGACTTATAAGTACAAATTAAGTACATTGTTATAGTTTGAGTAAAGTAAAGTAAACAATATACAATAAAAACTTCAATTACTTTAATGCAAACAAAAAATAATTTAAATTCAGACATACCGAATTTGTTTTACATCTAAATAAGCATTTTAGGCGTTGATGTAAACACTCATCCGATATTTCACTAAATTAATAAAACTCTTGAAAAAACTTCGAAGTGAGTTTCCATCGTTTTCACGCCAATACCAGACAGAGACGTCGTTGAACACCCACAAGAGATGACAGCGAATTTAATTATAAATATAATAAAAAAAAATCCCGATCGTCCCTTTCAAAAACCGGGCAACATCTACCGCCGCGAGAATAAATTACCATAGCTATATTCAACCTTGTGTGCACAGAATAAAGGACACCAACTGGCGAATTCGCATTATATCAACCGCAAACAACGTCCTGGCACATAATATATTGTAGATTCGATTGACGTCACTAAAGAGGGTGTCTCATATATTTTTTTTTTTATTTAAATTCGAATTTCGAATACTTTATGCGGCAAGACATGAAGTGTTGGATTTCGATTTGCATATAATACCAATACGAGTGCTTAGCGTGTCGTGACATCCTAATTTTGTCGGTTATTTTTATGTTTTCGTGTTGGAGATTATGATGTTTATCGAATATCGAGGGCTCGATTGACTTCGATTGCAGATCATCGTTATGATATTCAAATTGAATTTCGAAAGTATTATTATCGTTATAAGTTGAGTGGACAATCGATATTGAATATGTATTGATTAAAGCACATAAAATCAATATAAATGTAAATGTTTACAAGTTTTATTAAAATACCCGAATTCATAATTATGTTTGGAATTTATTATCTTTCTACTCGTCTAAACAAATGAATATTAATCTAACCCCAAACTAAGACCCATTTAATAAACACCTCTAAGGAACTGACCGTTAGTTAATAGCACTCGAGGGCCGCCAGATTATTCATGGCACAATGAAATAATTAATTGGTGCTCAAATCCGAGTTCCCGGCGCGCCATTATGAGAGTTGTTGTGCTGGACTTAATAGAGCTCTGTCCATTACGAAGGCCACTTCCCGACTGAGGTGTGAAATAGATATTTCAAATCTGGAATTCCGGAGCTGTGTATTTCAAATTTCGAACGTGTTCGATAATGGTCGGTGGACGTTTGTGTTCTCGTTGAGTACAATAATAAATTGGGATACGTAGAGATCAAAAAGCAAGAGCCTGTACAGACAAGAGGTATATTTTACAAAATATACGGACACATTTTTAGAATTTTTAACTATTTGACAGATTGTATGTTTGTTCCGGCATTACAAGAAGACTACTGCATCAAATTGGATGCGTTTTACATAGATGTGTTCCTGAAATTCTAAATAAATCTCCCAATAGCAATATTTCCGGACAGATACAACATTGACACATTCAAGAAAAAAGCATATTGCTTTTTAAAAGGCCAGCAATACACCTACAATATCTTTGATGTTGCTGGTGCCTATGGGAGGTGTTAATCACTTACAATCAGATGAGCCATCTTCTTATTTGCCCCCTGTCTTATAAAAAAAGTAAACAAAATCTAATCTATGTAATCATGATACATCATCAATAAATATTTACCTACATCCAAGATTCACGCAGCCAGTTGCGAACAATCTCGTTTGAAGATAAAGATGTTTATCTTTTGTCGTCAGGCATGGCGGGTGGCGGCATGGGTCAAGCGATGGGGGGCTATTACGGGGCCGCGTATGGTCCCCTCGGAGCCAGCATGGCGGCGGCCGCGGCGGCGGCGGCACAACAGAATGCCATATCGGCTGCACTCACACCTAACGCTCAGGTAACTATTGTAACAAAAATTTATTTATTTATTTATTGTATCAAATATGTATTCCTTATTAAATAATAATAAAAAAAAAGTAAAAGATATTTTCGATTCGATATTTGATTATTATTGCACTCGATGATATTCGATATTATTGCACTATTAATATATCATATATGATTGTGTTTCATTAAAAAATCGACTTCAATTTAGGCTACGATAACCACTTACCATCAGATGGGCCGTATGCTTGTTTGCCACCTCTTTGGTATAAAAACAAAATTATTTCAAATCCAGTTATTTCGATTTAAAAACTAAACTGCATAACCGATTTTGAAAAAATTTCTATAGGACCAATCTGTAATTATATCCTTTCAGATAAATAAAAGAATTTTCCAAATCGGTTTACAACTGACGATGGGTATGTTGGTTGGCCTATGTTTAGCAATGGGTAATTAACGTCTGATATGATGATGATAAATAGGACAAATTCAATTAAATTAAATACAATCATTTAGTACCTTTACATTTTAATGTTGTGATAATACAGTAACCAGTGATATTGAATTCGGTTTTATTTTGTCACCCCATAGCTCCATTATTTATAACCGATTAGAAAAATTCATTGACTACAAATAATAAAAAAATCTAAATCGATTTAGATTTAACAGAGTGTTGAGACATTACATTAGAATTATTTTGTTTAATTCCGCTACCATTAGTATGTGTGTGACTGTCAACACTCGAAGATTGTCCATCACTATTACATGTTCCTATGTATTGCGTCGTTCCTTTAAACCAAACTGTAACATGCTATCAAATTATGAACACTTCATTATACGCTTATAAACATCTTTCGGCACCCTACGTCACTAGATCGAAATTAGTCGCAGAATTGAAATTAAACCGAATATTCAGTAGCAAAAAGTATGCTGTGTCAGCATATTTTTGATGATGTAATATAACACTGAGATTAATGGCATTTCCCTCGCACGATATCCTAATTTCACGGTTCTGTACGCTCCTAAATGACTTAGCGTGATTATACGGTGCTTCCTAGAAATTTTCTAGTGTAATATAATTATTTAAGGCCTATCCGTCGACATCGTTTGCGCGGCTCTTTTTTTCCTCATATCCGTTTTATTTTTATTAAAAAAAAATGTTACTAATAGATATGTTATTAAAATTTAAATATCATAACTTAGTGCTATTTTTTAATTGATTGTAACAACACCTTCAATATAATGTCACCCATAGCTTTTATTACATAATTATTTAATTATTCTATTATTATTATTTATTTACTCGTTATTGTACGACTAAGAGAACTTAATGGTCGAGGGATGGGCAGCAGCGTCCCTCTTAAAATATCATCAAAGCCTAACGGCGGTTGTCAAACCGATTGCCAAGCTTGAAAACTACTAGCTAACCCCCCAAAAGGGGAAGGCTGATGTTCAGCAGTGGCCAGTTAACGGCTATATTAATATAAATATAAATTATTAGGCCAAATGGTTTGATATAGTGTTGATTATTATTCTAATTCCCACTGTAAGATTGAAAAGGTGCGGTGACACTGTATATTTACTTCATCATCATACAGATTCATTAAAATCCATCCATTAATTAAGAATTACCATCTAATCTGCAAACAGATTGTGGAAACTTCCCTCTTGTCACCTGCGATCGTAATGGGTCTTCACTTCATTATTCACACCGACAGATGGCGTCATAATCGCTCCATCCATTACAAGGGGGCGATATCGAATAACAATCCATGTTATAAAATTAATGGAAACGTATTTACTTATAATAAGATTAATGGAAGATATAATAGTGTTTACTAGCAGTAGAGCTAACTGGTGCAAGTAAATTTATAAACTATAGTTTTATTAATAAATCGTTAGATTTATTAACTATAAAAATACTCGTATATTCATTGTGTAATATTTTTTTATACGGCTTAGAATGGCAAACAAGCTGACGGCCTACCTGATGGAAAGTGGTAACCGTCATCTATAGACATGAGCAGTACCATGGGCATAACAGAGTATACTGTTTCTCTTTTAAATGTTAAATCTCTATTTTCTTTGATCATCCTACGCTGTGAACGACTTAATCAATTTAATTTTTTAGAAAATTCTTTTTTATCTAAAAGGATAGGATATACTTATAGATTAGTCCTATAGAAATTTTATCAAAATCGGTTCAGTAGTTTAGTTTTAAATAAAAATAACTAGTTTTCTCACAATCGACACAGTCGTTTTTGTGAGACACAATCTTTATTTTGCGTTACAAAACCAAAATTTTAAATTTCTCAAATTCGGACCCCGCTCCAAAAGTCATTCCATTCCAACCAATCTCCACGGTAGTTACAGTCGTCGCCCTCGCAATATTCGCTAATTATTTTGTGACGACTCACTGCTTCAGTGTAAACAATAGTCGAGTGGGGTCCGAACAGTGATTGAGATTCGCTACGGTGTGATGCGAGGAATTGAATTGTTATGCGCGCCGAATTAATATGATTCAATGGGCGAAAATAATATTGTGTAATAGGCATTATGATTTTTATTTAATTACTAGTGGTCCGAACACTTAGGTTATGGAATGAGCTCCCTGTCGAGGTTTTCTCAAGAGACTACAGCATGGGGTTCTTCAAAAGGGGAGTAAAGAGGTTTCTTCAGGGTCGGCAACGCATGCGTAATATCTCTGGTATTGCAGGTGTTCATAGGCTACGGTAACCACTTACCATCAGGTGGGCCGTATGCTTGTTTGCCACCTCAGTGGTATAAAAAAAAATACTAGTGGTCCGACCCGGCTTTGCACGGGTAGATAGCATTTTCCAAAATAATATAGTCTATGTTACTAGCTGATAATATAGGGGAAATATTCTTTTAAATTGGTTGACTAGTTTTTGAGTTTATCCATAACAAACAATTACATATTTTCTCTTTATCAGCCTGTTAACTGTCCACTGCTGGACATAGGTCTCTCCCATAACGGGGGGTTTGCCAGTAGTTGCCACGCTTGGCAGGCGGATTGCCATCCGCAGATAGACTTTGGGTATGTTTTAAAAGGGATCTGTTGCCCATTCCTCGCCCTCCCTTAGTCGACTCTTACGACACCCACAATATGGTATTAATACTATGGAATGCTGAAAATTTCAGTTTCATAGTATATAACCTACATATAGTTACCCCATCGATCCATCTACCCACTGTGGTAATTTCTATAAGGAAAACCCCGTGCCCACCATAATAATATTTTATACGACCATACTTATGACATTTTTAATTATCACCTTAATTTTTTTAAAGCGAAACTTCAACAAAGACTTTGTATAAAAGTCGATTGCTTTGGTACCTCTGTCCCATTTGTGTTTCTACCGTGAAGCAGCTGTGTTTGCATGGCTGTGTTTCGGTTTGAAGGGTGGGATATGGCGTGAATTTACAGAGTACAGAGGAATAACACCTGAGTCCTCAGGAATGGCAACGCATGGGGGTTATCATGGGCGAAACAGTATACTCTGTTATGTCCATGGTACTGCTCATATCTATAAGCGACGGTTACCACTTTCCATCAGGTGGGCCGTCAGCTTGTTTGCCATTCTAAGTTGTATAAAAAAAATTGAAAAAATAAATCATTTCGAAACGTTAAACACCGCAATCATATAATTTCATTACAAAACCGACACTAATCTTTTGAGCCGGGAACTGAATCCCTTACTCCCCCGATGTTTAACACATCTACGTCACATCCCCGAGATTAAACGCCAAATAGAGGGCCCTAATAGGGTTGTCACCAGTCTCATTATATTCGTGAGAAATTGAACTGAAAATATTTTTTTTTAAATTGCTTCGCCTGCCCTTATACATATATGTATGTATAATCAAACTTACAAATTGAAATTTAATTATTAAACAGAGATTTGTTTTTAAATTGGCTCGGATTTTATTTTCTAGTGAATTAAAATGGAATGGTAACGCCATCTGCACTAATGGTTTACACTTCTAGTCTTGGTGTTTTAATTATTAAAAATCCGCTTCCCCCATTAACTCAGGTTTAGGATATTGTCCTACGATGTTCGTTAGTTAACCTTCAACCCCAGACTGTTGGGAGGGGGGTTGTTAATAACACGGACTATCATTTCAGGTATATTCATTACGATGGGCTTACTGATCTGCCTTTTCATTGTCACCTATTATCTCTCACTGGTGCCCCGCCAGCGTTTATCGTTAGCACAAGCGGAGTTACCATCTCATTGTCTTCCATGAAAAAAACCCAATTCCTAATCCTAAGCAACATAAGTGTAAAAAAAAATATTAAATATTTTTCCAATATTTAAAGTCACAGTGACAACCCTAGTTTAGGGGAAAGATCGAGGAGTTTTTAAACGTAGGGCCGGAGGTCCCCTGAGGGCGCGATTTAATTGTCCAAGTCATGTCAAGTGTTGCTCTGATAGAATTTTCGTTTGGGACCAATAGTTTGTGATTTTGCACAAAACTTTACATGTACTTGTATAACGGATCCACAAATAGAAAGCTAAGAATGAAGCTATTACGACTTAAATCTATCCTCACAGCAGATACAACAGGGTAGGCAGAGAGCACAGTGTGCTGAAAATCTCATTCCTTATATCTCTTCTTTCATAATACACTATTAATGGAGGAAAGAGATTGCTAGTAATGTGGTCTAATTGACCCATTGCTAGCAATACACCCTATCAGGTCGACCTCCACACGGTTCCCCCTGGAAACTGTCGTGTTTAATTCTAGTGGAATTCGTCACAATGGGCTAACTGACCTGCTTTCATTCTCACCTGTCATTCTTCACTGGTGCCCCGCCAGCGTATTCCGATAACGCAGGCGGAGTTACCACTCCATTATTACCCATTAAAAGAATACACTATTAATTTAAGGCGTAATACATAATTCTCTCTCGTAGCTCTCTCTCTCTCAACAATTTATTTATTTAGCACTTATTTAAAAAAAGAAATATTTTCTACACACTATAATGTAAACTTAAATGATAAAATAAAAAAAAAATCATTCTATATAAATTAAATTCAATACGAGCATTGAATTCGATTCGCGTAACGATATTAAAACACGAGTACTTAATACAATAATCGCGAGTATCAACAAATCGATCAATCGATTCGCAATCTCGATCGTCACTTTCGTAAATTGTTAATTAAATGGAAAGTAAGGCCCGCGACACACGATCGATCAAACCCATTGTGCAGTTAATAGACTCCCGAACTATCCGATGAAAACGCATTTTTTTCGATTAACGTATCGAATCGGAGCCCGAATGTTGGAAACAATATAATCAGCTACCATTCAGTGGTAGGTATTAACACGTAAATATTAAAGGTTCACGTGATATTAAAAATGATGATCGTGCACTTTTGTATGTAAAGGCAGTTATATACTCACAATTTTAGTCGATTGTTAAGCTTGTTAGTCGGATACGCGATCGATTCGAATTGTATCGTCCGATTGTGTATGTATCAATCGATTCGGCGAATGTAATTGGAAACAATAGATTTGAAGTAAGGCTTCCCTGCTGAAACACAAAAGCATTAAATACATATAACATTCTGATATTTTTGAGTTCTGAATTGAAATGAAATACTTTTACCTCTAATTTGTATTAAGCCCCTTGGAGACATATTGGCAATAATTTTTTTTTGGATACAACTTAGAATGACAAACAAGCTGATGGCGTAACCTGATGGAAAGTGGTAGCCGTCGCCTATAGACATGAGCATATATGGATAATATAGTATATTATGACCTGAAAGTTTACAACCAATATTTTGTTTTTTCAAACAGATAACTAAAAATTTTGTCTCACAAAAAAACTATTTTAACAAGTAATTTTGATTTAAAAACTAAACTACTAAACCGATTATGATAAAAATTTTTTGAGACCATTCTGTAAGTATTTCCTTTCAGGTACAAAAAGAATTTTCGAAATCGATTTAGAACTAACAGAGTTAGCGAACATAAAAATATATAATCGAATAGAATCTCCTTTGTGATTTCGATTCAAAAAGTAAATACCATAGATAAAACATTGTTTCTTTTATCTAATAGTAAACAGTCGGTGCTGGCCATTAAAATCGTACCGATCGATAATTTCGATTAACGAACCATTGTGATTTCTGTATTCGATTATGTTGATGTATGAAGTTTATTGAGGTTCACGGTTGCTTAGTGGCACTCATTAGCGGCGGACCGGACGGTAATACGCCGTGAAATCAGGTACGCGTCGGTTATCCGCATATCCGTTACGAATATTGATATTTTTATGCTACATACCATTTTGTATTGCTATGGCACACGCATGAAAGAAGAAAAAGGAAATTCTTGTTTTGTATATTTTGCATTTTGTTTTTTTTTATTGCTTTTTTTGGTTTTCATTCTTTTATCTCTTTTACTGTGTATTATGTATATGTTTGTGTTGTAATTTGTGTGCTGTAAGTAATGTAAATAAATTATCTATCTATCTGCTATGGTTCCATACTGTTTTGATAGCTGCGTATTAGTGCAACTTGCCAATGCAAACTATTGTAAACCGATCACAATTATAAGCTAATTCCTGTTATTGTAAGTGCAGTATAAAATGTCACTGGCAATAGATTGGATTGATATCGATGTTGGATTCAAGAGTTATCCTACTGTTTGTTTGTTTATTTATTTATTTATTCATTATTTTAGTGTTTTTTTTTTTAATTTAGACTTTAATTGGACTGAATTTAATCTTTTATTTGTATACAATTTTTTTGTTTATTTTGTTTCTTGTTTTGTGCGCTACTGTGTGGGTCGCATGCTTCTTCGATTAAATTATTTCTTTTTTTTTCTACATTCGAATTTCGGGATGTTATAAAAGCTGTTTCTTTTTATTAAATAAAACAATTACTTTTTAAGGGGGTTGCGTTATTAATATACATATATAATACATTATATAATTTAAGCGAATGCGTAAAATTACTCGCAAAACGCAACGTAACGCAACTGTCGCTATTTGCGCGTAAACAAGTCGAATACGTATTACGCGAGTGGTAGCGTGTGTGGTGAAGATATATTAATGTGAGTTAGAGAATTTTTCCTCGGCCGTAACTTAGACGGTATAAAGTACATTGGGCACGGCCGTAAACCGTGTAGTTGAATGTCTATATGTCCGCCTAATCCTGATTTAGCGCGCTAGCGGTCACCGAGGATCGTACGTTAAACGATAACGTTTAATACGTATAGGCTGTGCGTGTGGCGAGCATGCTCGACTTGTATTCTATTTTTGAAAAAAATAGAACTTCCTAATTCTTTTTTCGAATTTAAAATTAAAAAAATTGGCGATTGATGTTTTATGATGCAGTGATACATTATTTTTTTATATCACCGATATATTTGGATAATCTAAACCGATTTTAGTTTTTTTAACCGAATCGAAATAAATTTCGTATAGGACCATATTGATACTAAATTTATTATATAATACAGAAATATAATGTATTATAGAATCTTTTGTAGTTTAAGAACAATGTTAATGTAATAACACAAACAAATGTCCATAATATTTGAGTACTATCTCTATGTTAGTACATCTGTTCACTGAGATGGCGGTGAACTAAAATTATAGTGTATTACTATTTTCTTGTTCTAAAATGTATATAAATGAAATATTTATTGGAATCTATCATAATATCCCAGTGTAGTAGAAGTAAAACATGAAATATAATCAAGCCGCCAGTCTGACAGTGGTGTTAGTGGGCTAATATTCTTTTTAAGCGAATTAGAATGACAAACAAGCTGGCAGCCCACTTGATGGAAAGTGGTACCCGTCGTCTATAAATATGTACAGTACCATGAACTCAACAGAGTGTACTTTTTGCCATATCTTCAAACCGAAACACAGCCATCCAAACACAACTGTTTTACGGTAGAAATACGAATTGGACAGAGGTGCCAAAGCAAACGAATTTTGTTTAGTGATTCTGGTAAATTACTGATGTAATATGTTGCCCATGATGCCCTTCTTGCGTTGCTATTTCTAAGGGCTAAGGCATTATACCTCTGTACGTTGTAATTTCATTAATATGAGAATATTACCATTACGATGATCTCTATGTAAAAGAGATATATAAAAAGACGCGCCAAGATTATATACAAATTGTACCAAGTCAAATATAATACTCGTAAAACTGATTGTACGTTCGACGAACTGAACGCTCGTATGTCTCAGCCCACGATATTTTCCTCACAATATTGTGTAGGGTCCAGTTCATTAAAAATTTCACATTGGAACCATTATATGAGCCTATTGTATCACTTGATTTGTGTCTCCGACCACGTAATATACACCAGTGTGTACGTACTCGCGTTGTACACTGCATTATATATCATATAACAAGGTATTAAAGATATAAATCAAATGACAATCATATAGAAAGCTCGGATGCTATTCATATGAAAATATTATTCAATTTTCATTGAATTATTATTATTTATGAAATATGGTTAAAACATATAAAATTGTTTGATTTCACAATCAACGTACGTGCTGATTCGACATCATTCAAACAACAATATGTTAATAAATTGTTCGTAATAAATTATTATTAAATCATTTATAATGTTTTTACCAAATATTTATTTATGGATATTATAATAAATAGAGATACAAATTTTATGTCGATTGTGAAAATATTTTATAAATAAATTTTTTTTTTTGCTTTTTTTTTTCTCGATACTCGTTCGTGTAAACGATAAATTATATTGTATATTAAAAATAATATTATTTAAAACTATATGTTTAAATGTGACGTGTTTCTGTTAAAAAGATATGATCACGGCTTCCACCAGCATTCGGGCTCGATACACTAAATAACGCCATATCAGCCTTTAAGTGCCCACTGCTGAGCATAAGCCTTTCTCATAAAGAAGGGGGTTTCCAGTAGTTCCAGCCACGCTTAGCAGGCGGGTTGGCAACCGTTGTTAATAAACTTTATTAAACAAATACAGGGTTACACAGTTACATGTTTTTTGCCCTAGCTTACAAATTAGGGTAACCTGTGCCTTGTAAGCCAGTTCCTTCCAATACACAAGAGTTGTTAAGCTTTGGTGATGTCTCAAGAGCTACTGCCCATCTGTCATTCTATTAGTCGCCTCTTACGACACCCAAAAAGCAAGCAAGGGGTGGCCTATTCTACGCCGGGACCACACGGCACGGTATTCTAAATATACTTATCCATTAACACAAATTAGGCAGGATTGTTAGTAATGATGACCAGCAGCCCCACTGCTAGCTAATACCATATCGACCTCCACGCAGTCCCACCTGAAGACCACTAGGAGGTACTATTTTTAATGGGTGATATTGGAATGGTAACCCCACTTGCGCCATCAGCTTACATTGGCGAGACACCAGTAAGAGATGATAGTTGAGGATGGAAGCAGGTTAATTAGCCCATCATGACTTAATCACGATGGTTTCCAGGGGGAACCGCATGGAGATCCACCTGATAGAGTATATTACTAGTAATAGAAATATTAGAGCTCATTACTAACAGTCCCTTTCCCCCACCAGGAGATGAATTAATCACAAGCCAACTAATTTTAAGTTTCTGTTTTAATCTCTCACCAGTTACCAGTACACCATTACCAGTATGCAGCATGAACCAATAGCGCAGGTTAAGCTAAAAAGAAACATACATACGTACATATCTGTCACGCCTGTCTCCCATTAGGGTAGGCAGAAACAATGGAACGCCAAATGCTTCAATTCAAACAAGCCTCTTTCGCTTCTTCCATATTCATCAATCTTTTCATATACGCTCGCCGGTTACAGGTATTTTTAATTTGGCTCTTCTTCAGCACATAGCCTATTTGGTCAATATACGTCTAAAAAGACACCTGAATTCGAAAGTCCTAATTATCGTCAACATTATAAAACGCAGACAAATTCGCGGGTAAAAGCTAGTCTAATATAAAACTATCTGTTACAGATGAGCTCGTCAATGGACATGTCCAAGTACTCAATAGAAGCTGAAAAGTACAGGAGTTACGGCATGTACCCTGATCCATCACGAGGATACCTGGACTCGGCGGCGCTCTCCAAAGCCTACATGTACATGGACCAGCAGCAACAAAGGTCCTATCCAATGGACATAAGCAAGATGTATACCGAAGCGTCAGCCGCTGCGATGGCAGGACTGAGTTCGGCCGTCAACTCCGCGCCATCTAGTCTATCCCCGCGCTCCCCAACTGAATCCCCTGATGTGACACCCAAAAACCAGGACAGACCTGAGGGCAGCACGTCCTCTGGGTCAAATCCGTCACCATCGCTTCCTTACTACCAAGGATCATCAAGTCTTTTAATGCCTCAGTACCCTGGCCAGTATACCCAGGGGGCGCAAGGTGGATCAGAATTTCGAAGGCCACTGACTGTCATATTCTGACCTGAAGCTTAGTTTGACTGTTAATTTTTAATTGTTTTACACTTGTGAAAATGTAACTCCATATTATCGTTTTATTAGGGAGAGTTCACAATGGTCTTTCGTCCGCTGCGATTTTTCTGTAATAAACGTGCGATTCAAACGTACCTACTGCGATCATGGCTTGAGTTAACTTGGCTTCAAATGTATGAATATGTACTGAAAAACAGTCTATCGAAGTGACAGGAATTTATAACAGGAATAAATATGACTACGTTTTGCTTAAAATGTAAAACGCTATTGATTTTTTTTTTATTGTATATTTTAATGTGACGTTATGTTTATTGTATCTGATTTTTTCAATAATTGTCTGTGTGTTATTTATTATGTTCAATTTAGTTGCCTTTTCTGAACCAGTGATATGTTTTTTTTTTTTTTTTACGATCACGTTTTCGTGATCTCCCAAAGTTCCTCTTTGATTTTCCTTTCGTAGTTTTAGATTAAGATATCGTTGTTATGTAGGCATTCTATTACCTACACGTGTAAATATAATTTTAGTTATTTAAGTAGTTAACGATTATTTGTTACTGTGATATTTTTTTTTTTAAATCTTATTCAGACATTGTTTTCTTATTAAGTAATATGCGTTATTAACAAGGTAACAAACAAATTTATCGATAAAATCGTTACCGCTACTGAATTCAAAAAGAATGAGACGGCAACGTTTGCTGTCTTGCTCATTATCATGAGAACACTAATCGAAAAGTTTTTATGAATAGATTTATTTGCAACTTACCTAAACTTTATTAATCACTTAATGCATGTGATTCAAAAGGTTATGATTTTCTGTTTTATTTTAAGTAAATCTCAAAGAAACAATCACAGTAACTTTTAATACTATGGATTTAGAAGAAAGTCCAAAATGAATTACAACGACTATTCAACAAAAAAAATCTGTAAATATAGTCCACGATGTTAGAATAATATGTAAATTATGGAAGAAAAGTTTTTCATATTTAATTTATAGACTTTGACCAGCGAGTCGTGTCCACCTAAAACCGTGACAAATTTTAAAAAATATGTTAGGGTAATACTGAAAATACTGCGAAATACTTTTTTTTTATACTTGTATCATTATTCTCAAAGGAATATATTTAATTCTTATTGTTATATCTTTATTCTGTTAACTAATAACTACTACTAATACTATAAATCGTCATAATCACTACCATCACTTTGAATGACACACACACCTTTGTTGACAGCATCCTCTTTTTTTATTCTTTTAAAAGTTCTAACAGATACTTCTGGAAAACAAGAAAAAAATCATTGTAATATTGAATTTTACAAGAATTGTTTATCATAAATGTAGTCACCTGTCATATTGGAGATTCTTTCCAGATATACTTTTTCATGGTGGATGAAATCATCATTGTCAATCTTTTTCAGATCTTCAATTAAATCCTTAATCTTTTGTTTAGGTTCATCGTGTAAACCATCTGGAAACAAAGAAATTAATCGCATGTAAAAATCGTCTAAAAACTGTTACATTTCGCACACAAATATTCTTATGACCGCTAAAAAGCCAGTAAAGTATCAAAATCTTTTTCTTCAATGTCATACCTGCTTACGAAACAATTTCTTCGAAAGTTCGTCGTTTTTCTACAAGTACTTGCTCCATGTCACTTTTTAACCGATCATAATTCTTAATCATGGTAAATAACATGCCACAATAAAAAAAAATACTACTTTTAATAGGTTTAGCCATTTTAAATTCAAAATTATAAAGAAAAATAAGGGACGATATATGAAAAGAGAATCAGTGACACTTAGATTGACAGATTGATAATGTTGCCAACACGAAAGTTTCCAAAAATAATGAGTGACACGACTCGCGGACCAAACTATATTTATAATATTCGACTTTAAAACCATTGTATGACCGACTTTGTTTCTCAATTTTATTTTGTATGTATGACGAATCAAGATTACAAATTAATTTTGTACATTAATGTTATGTATTGAATTTTTTGCGAATATTTTCCGTTAAGTCTGCTACAGTTAGAAGAATAATTATATATTAAAAATAAAAAATTAGAAGTAAAAAAATATTTATTTGTCCAGTGTAAATATCCGCCTGTAACAATAAAAATCGCAACGGTCCTCTCGGACTGTGTGAAAGAGCCATAACACTGCATTTACCTATTAATATTGCCATAAACTATCACTTTTTAAATTTTTTTTTTCTTTAGTTCTAATTTTACTTTGGTAGTTGAATTGTTTTTAATCTACTTATTATTTCATCAAAACCAGAGTGATTAGAATTAGGCCTGATCCACACTAGTACCGGTTTCGATTCGCTCTCGGTCTGATAATATACCTCAATTCATAAAAATAAATTTTATGAATTTAATTTTTCTTCCCTCTACAAATCTATTTTAACTATTACACTCTTTTCTTCTCTCTCTCTTCAGTTGTACACTCTTGACAGAGTGGTCGTGGTTTTTATGATGATAGTGGATCGTCGACGAGGCCCTCCTTCGCGATTGAGGTCCTCGCAATGCGTCCCCATCGACTTCTGCTCACAGCCGAGCTAGAGCATTTCACAATAGATTGCTGTGTGGCCGTTTTGATGAGGTCAGTCCATCGCGTTGGTGATCTACCCCGAGAACGTTTGCCTTGTACCGACCCTTGGGCAAATAGACGTTCCATACAGTTTTCCTACTGTTTTGTTACGTTCTTCCAAATTAGGAATTTAGTACAAAAGAAAGAGATAGGGAGACTTTGTATAATAGTCGATTGCTTGGGTACCTCTGTCCCATTCGTGTTTCAACCGTGAAGCAGTTGTGTTGCATGGCTGTGTTTCGGTTTGAAGGGTGGCGTGAATTTACTGGGTACAGAGGACAAACACCTGAGTCCTCAGGAATAGCAACGCATGGGGGGTATCATGGGCGAAACAGTATACTCTGTTATGTCCATGATACTGCTCATGTCTATAGGCGACGGTTACCACTTTCCATTAGGTGGCGTCAGCTTGTGTGCCATTGTAAGTAGTACATAAAAAAAAAGTTAAAATAAATTTCTGAGATATTTCATGTTTTTATAAATAAGGGAGTTGTTATGTAAGAGACAATGGGGTAGATTCTCAGGCGCCATTTCTCTAATGTATCTAACCTATCTCTTAGCCTAATTTTTTATTTGGTAGTTTCGCAAAATTATACTTTTATTGACCATCATAAACTTAGTTTGACTTAAATCTATTATAAAATAGTTTATATTAGTCCTTTATTATAACATTTCACTATCATATCAATTTAAAAGTTTATGTTTAAAAATAGGTTTAAAGAGAAAACGCCTTAAAATCGACTCACATTTCGTTCACATTCATCTAATCCTCTTTCGATCAAATCTCGAACTTTTTCTACTGACCATACCGAGAGTAGTACGAGGGCAAATCGAGACCGTTATTAAAGTAGGGATCTGGCCTTATAGAGAAAAAGAATAAAAAAAAAAAACAATATTCCTAATTTAAATTGTTCCCAAATAGTACATAGAATTTTGAATAGATATTTTAAAATACGAACGACGTAAGTTTATTTGTAAATGGAAGTTCATTGTAAAGTTGGGTCGATTGTAACTATGAGACTATTAGATTTTAATTAAAAAAATATATACTGTCAAAATGTATTCTGTGTTTTATTAATCTAGAACCATTCTAAAACTAGAATGGGCCAACGATTCCTTATCCGTGGGTGTCATAAGAGGCGATTAAAGGTACTTAAGGGTCTCGATGATGGGCAGCAGCCTCCCTCTTAATACATAATCAAAGCCTAACTGCGATTGCCAACCCGACTGCCGAGCATGGCAACTATTGGCAAAACCCCCCAATAGGGGGAGGCCTATGTTCAGTAGTGGACAGTTATTGGGTGAGTTGATGATGATGATAATCTTAGAACCAATATTTTTATATTAAACGCAATGGGTATACGCAGTATGGAATGCCCATGGTCTTTTTATACTACATACATACATGTGTACATGCGACGGTTAAAACTTGCCATTCCAAACAAATATAATATTTTTCTCAGTGGCATAATAAAATCGGCACTGATCGAGAACTTAAATAATGGGTAAAGAAAGAAATGTTACCAGTGCTTGGGTAAGTATCCCACTCAAATTTCGGCCATGAAGAAGCTTTGAAGACTAGGGAATTACAGGGGACGAAGGCATAAATAAAACCTTATTTTTCAGAAATGGTAACGCAAGAGGTGTATCGTGGGCATCAGCCCATACTGTGATCAGTACACTCTCTATAATATCCGCAGTACTTGTTAAACTATCCGGCTCGAAGGACCAAAATGTATAAGCTGTTTGCTTTAAACATGTATTGTTTTGTAGCGTTAGTTCGTATGTACGAAATCAAAAGACGTCTACGTGCTGCGAGTTTTTTATTAACACAGGCGTTATAATTATGAATAACAGCGTACGCGCAGGAATGCTGAATAAGCTGTTTATATAATGTGCAACTACCCTTTTCATGTCTAAAGGCGAGGGTTACCACTTTCCATGAGATGGACCGTCAACTTGTTAGCCATTCTAAATATTATAAAAAATAACATAAATATAAAAGAATAAAGAAAAAAACCAAAAAAAATTATCGTTCGAAATCACGATAAGTACATTTTACTCTACAAAAACAATTACTTCCATCGTGAATGCATACATCGCTAAACAACAAGATATTTCGTAGACACATTAGATTGAAAATGTACAATTTATATGAGTGATTGATTTGATGATAAAATCATCTATATTGATCAAAAAACTAAAGTACTGCACCGATTTTGATATAATTTCTACGGTACCAATCTGTAAGTAAATCCTTTCAGAGAATGGAAAAAATCTTTTAAATCGGTTTAGAACTGACAGAGTTATAAGGTAACAAACATAAAAGAAAGAAAAAAAATACAACCAAATATAGTAAAGGTAAAAAAGTACAGTGAAATTAAGAACAGTATCATTTTTATTCATTTTCAAAAGCACTTAAAACGTAAGCTGTGTAAATAAATTTAGCCAACATCGACATAGAGAACTCCTAGTCGCCCTTATTTTATTAGAGTAATAAAATATTAATATAAAATATAAACATTTATTCTGCTATTATCGCATATTGTCCGTTTAATTCGTTAAAATAATAAATACTTTTCAATTATGTTTAACAAAAATCACTATTTCCACTGCTAAATTGAACTTGTGTAGTGTCAACCCTATTGCGACAAAAATAAGGTACAGAAT